ATTACCACAAAACACAGATCCAATTTGAATTTTGGTGGCATCACTTTTACCGTTCGAGAGTTATGCTCCTTTACAAATGCAAACATTGCTAAATTTTTCGTTTCCGTTCTCTAACTTTAGTTTGTCTCAACCAAATGTTATGAAACTTATCCACAATGTTTATTACCACAAAACACAGATCAAGTTTGAATTTTGGTGGTGTCACTTTCACCGTTCTAGAGTTAAGCCCCTTTACAAATGAAAAAATGCTGATTTTTTTTGTATCCATTTTCTAACTTGAGTTTGCCTTAACCAAATGTTATGAAACTTATAAACAATGCTTATTACCACAAAACACAGATCCAATTTGAATTTTGGTGGCATCACTTTTACCGTTCGAGAGTTATGCTCCTTTACAAATGCAAACATTGCTAAATTTTTCGTTTCCGTTCTCTTACTTAATTTTGTCTCAACCAAATGTTATGAAACTTATCCACAATGTTTATTACCACAAAACACAGATCAAGTTTGAATTTTGGTGGTGTCACTTCCAACGTTCTAGAGTTATGCCCCTTTACAAATGAAAAAAATGCTGATTTTTTTTGTTTCCATTTTCTAACTTGAGTTTGCCTAAACCAAATGTTATGAAACTTATCCACAATGTTTATTACCACAAAACACAGATCAAGTTTAAATTTTGGTGGTGTCTACATTTGAAAATGCCTGTACCAAGTCAGGAATATGACAGTTGTTGTCCATTCGTTTGATGTGTTTTGTCATTTGATTTTGCCATGTGATTAGGGACTTTCCGATTGAATTTTCCTCGGAGTTCAGTATTTTTGTGATTTTACTTTTCACTTTCACCGTTCTAAAGTTATGCCCCTTTACAAATGGAAAACTTGCTTAAATATTTGTTTCTGTTCTCTGACTTTAGTTTGCCTCAACCAAATGTTATGAAACTTATGCACAATGCTAATTACCACAAAACACAGAAAAAGATAAAATTTTTGTGGCGTCACTTCTACTGTTCTAGAGCTATGCCCCTTTAAAAATGGAAAAAATTGCTGAATTTTTCGTTTCTGTTCTCTAATTTAAGTTTACGTCAACAAAATGTTATGAAACTTAAAAACAATGCTTATTACCACAAAACTCGGATCAAGTTCAAATTTGGGTAGTGTCACTTTTACAGTTCTTGAGTTATGGCCCTTTATAATGTTGTATGCAAGCGGGGCACCATCTATGTCCCATGGACACATTCCCCATTTATTTTCTTTTAATGTACGACCACAAAGCTATGAATGGTCTAGTGCTGCTGTCGTTGCAGTCATCGTCGGTCTAAAGACTCCTGGGTTTTGTGCAATACCTGTCAATCTGATTAACCAATCTATTCAAAGAAATATTTGATAATTTGAATTCGATCTAGTACGCCCCACTCATTTCTGAAAAGGGATCAAAACAGTGTCAATATCACTAATTTGGTTTACAGTCGTCAGTATATACGAGGTTTTGATGAAACTTTGTTTTTTCTTTATAGTCTTTGTAAAAATTCCTATAAAAGATATTCCGACAGATTTTGCATTTCTCGACATACCGGTATAAGGGAACTCATTGGGGTTAATAATAAAATCTAAACATCCGTATACGACAACACGTAATTGTACGGCATCACGTGCTGTCGCTGTCTGGAGAACTTGACATTTCAGGGGCAACAACTCTAACATCTTCAACGTTGTCCTGTATATCATTAATATCATTTAATTTTAAACTTTGATCTCGTGGTTTTCATAATAATAGCTATTTTACCTAACAAAATCGATAAACAAAATCCATGTTTCAGGAGTAAAAATGGGCTTTGGTACATTTTTATGCAATTTTCAGTGTGGATAGATACTTTCTTAATGATTATTTTTGTAATTTTACTTTCAACCTAGCCATTGGCGTAACTTCCATTGAGGCAATAATGCAACTGTCTCACTAAATTTTTGACAAAGAAAATTGAATAAGGAAGATGAAATGTACAATTGGTATTTCGAAATTCAGGGTGGTTCTAAGCATTTGACTTCTATGTCTAATAGACAAACTACTCTATCACTAACCTGCCAACACTGAGGTTGTGAATTCGAACCACACATGTGCGTTCGACTCCAATCTCAATTGACAAGGAATGTCAGTTTTCCTGCCGAAGGTCGGTGGTTCTCTTCGGGCACTCCGGTTTCCTTCATCAATTAAAACTGACCGCCATGAAATTGACAAAAGTGATGAAATTGGCGTTAAACACCAATCAATCAATCGTTTACACAATTGTTTCTACTTCTAAACTGAAAACAAATTGAATGAACTCGTTCAACTTTTTTTTTATAAGAGAAGTAACGAAAATATACAAATATCTTGCTATAGTCAGGGACAAATACTTTAACAGTACCGCTTACAAAAGAAGTTCTGTAAACTAACACCATAAACATGCCAGTTTTTTTTTTTTATTGAAAACATATTTATTATATTTAGAGAACATACTATAATTCATATATTCAACACTATCATTATAATGTGAATGCCCTCTTTTCTCATCGACTTGTTTTATATTCGTATTATGTAGTCATCATAGATACTTCTCAACAACAATGGAACTTAAGCTAGCAATTGCCTTTGATGTCGTTCCCCAATATATATACTGTTCTCTCACTGGATAATTGAAATTTGGTGACCATGTTGATCGCATCTCAGGGGCGGATCCAGCCATTTTTAAAAGAAGGTTCCAACCAGGATAAAAAAGTGGGGGTTCCAACCATATGTCCCAATTCAAAAGCATTGATCGTCAAAAAAGGGGATTCAACCCCCGGAACCACCCACTGGATCCGATACTGCATCTATCCCTTTGAACTTGGCGTAAAGGAAACGCAATGTTAAGCTGATGAACCAAGATTTCTTTGTGGTTAAGTTGTAGTCACACTTATTTTACGTCATCATGATTTGATAGATTTTGATAGACCGTTGTGGAATATGAGTATCACAATATGGCCAAGAATATTTAAATTGGCGTAGCTCCATGTTATTTTTATTTGGTTTTAATCGCCTTGAGCAGCACGTGGTGGCACTTGTCGAACAGGAATTTCTTACCTTACCCATATACCTCCTTGAGTCTCGGTCTAGATTAACATGATATATTTTATCAATGTCAGAACTGCCTGCATCGGTTCAACCCCAAACATAACATAGGTGGCAACATTGGCTGTGCGGCTGAAAGTCCTTGTATTTGACAGCAGACCTGTATTTGACGGCAGACCTGTAGTTTGTAATCTTTCTTGTTTTTTGGATGTCAGTTTATATCTATACCAGACAGGCTCCTCGGTATTGCATAGGTTTGCCATGTTTTAGTGAAACAGCTGGTGACATTCCCTGTCGTGCATGTAGCCCTGGTCCCAACATTGCACAGACAGTCTTCCTTGCTGTTTTTAGTTGAATTTCTCACATTTTCCTGTCAAGAGGAACCAAATTAGACTTATTTGGATTTATTGTTACTATGTCTTTCCTTGTAGTGTCGTATACATATCTAGCAATGATTGTACTTCATGCTTTTTACTGGCAAGCAAAGCGATGTCGTCTGCACAGGTTGGTGCCACTACCGTAATGTTGCCTATTTTTGCTCCAAGATCTGCCATTTCTAAGGCCTCTAGTATATTATTGTTATATCTTTTGTAAAGTACGGTTGATAGTTTCGCACTTTGTCTACTCATACCATCGTGAGACAGTTTGTTAAAGAGTATTTCGTGGCCCTATTTGTCAAATGCTTTCTATAGGCAGATCCAGGGGGGCCCTTGGGGGCCCGGGCCCGGTCCCCCCCCCCCCCCTTTTGTGGGAAAAATTTGGTTGATTGTATAGGGAATCACTGAAGCATGACTGGAGCGGGCCCCCCTTATGAAAAGTTCTGGATCCGCCACTGCTTTCTATGCATCTAATCTCAATAGTACTAGCTGTGTTTGTATTTCCTTGTAGTGGTCAACACTTTGTGTTACAACAAAATCTGCTTTCAATGAAGATGATTTTTCTGTAAAACCCTGTTGGAGTTTGATGTTGATGTGGTAGTTATTTGGGTTCTATTCTCTTCTTGAGTAAGCTCTCTAATAATGTGAAGATGCAGCTTGATACGGTTATGACTCTGTAGTTTTAGGGGTACTTTTTACCTTTCCCGCTTTTGAGAACAGGTGTAAGTACGCCTTCTTTCACTATCGGAGGTACATCTTTCTGGTTAAAGACAAGATGTATGATGTTGATAATATATTAATATATTGTAGGACTGGTTCTGATGGCATGTTTTTTCAGTGTTCCGCCGATATTCCGTCAGCTCCTGGGCTCTTTCCAGATTTCAGTTTTTGTGTGAACACTTTATTTCCTCTATTGTTCTCTGCTTATTTCCTCATTTCTATCAGTTTCTATTTGTTCAATCATGTGGCCAGGTATTGTAGTTAGATTCATTGTCAGTTGTTTGACTTGTTTCACACATATAAAGATCTTCAAAGTAACTTTTCCACCCCACAATTATATCGTCAGGCTCTGTCTCCTCTTTATAAGATCATAATGTGTGTTGTTGTTTTTCTGACATTCCTTTGGTTTTGTAAAAGCCGTGGTGAAATAGCTTATTGTCGTTTTGCGAGGACTCCATAATTTGCTCTTTGGAGGAGTTTTTTTTTCTAGATGCATTTGCCCTTCTTTGTGCACTTCTCGGATGTCTTTTAGCGGTTACCATTTCTTGCTTTTTCCCCTTATTTTGTCAATTTGATTTCCAATCAAAGAAAACTTGTTTTGAATATTTTGGAACTTGGCTGATTTCATCGTTCCAGATTCCCCTTCCTACATCTTTTGTTGTCATTTGTATTCTATAATTTGGTATGGAGTCTTTACTGCCTGATGGAAAAGATTAATTTATAGCTAAAATTATCTATTTCTTCAGCTGGTAACTCAAATATTCCGGAATTGTAACATGTTTGTTTCTTTACCGATTTCAATTATTGATTTCCTAATAAAAATACAGCATTTTGTATTACCCATTACTTCCTGTCATAAGATTAATTAAGACGACGATGGCAAGTCAATCGACAGGAATTCAACAGCTTCTACAAGCTGAAAAGAAGGCTGCAGAGAAAGTATCCGAAGCTAGAAAACGTAAGATATACCAGGAGTTAATGTCAGATTTCGTAGAAACAGCTGTCAAAGTGTCACTCCTGTATTTTGTCGATTAAAATTTGTGACATAATTACATGGCCGAAAGTGTAGATAAATATACGGACATAGAATTGAAATAATTAAATGAATCAAATTCGAATGGACCTGTGGTAGACAACAAATGCAATGCATGAAATCTTAAAAGTTTCTCGGAAGTTGATGGTCACCTGGAAATCAAGAAAACTTTAGAACTTTTCAGGGTGCGACTTTTTACCCCAACAATGGCAACATACCCCAATATACCCAAACAAACAGTTTCCTCATAATTTGATTGAATATTCATGTTATCTTAGGCATTTTAATGTTATTTTAATGACAATCATACTTAATCTTACGATCACAATATGACTTTTTAACCCAATATACCCTAATATATTCCAATAATTTAATTTTGGATGTAACACATCTTCTGGTTGTTTTGTTTATCAGTTCAAAGACATAATTTTGTCATGTGACCCTGACATCATCAATGTTTTTCATGGTTTACTCAGGTTTAAAATGGAATTTAGAACTAAATTATAAGAAATGACTGTAATATTTTTTCTGTCTATTCGAAATAACATAAAAAATGTGGTGCACACTTTAAAATAACCCGCTACACGGGTTATTCAGTGTGCACCACATTTTTGATGTTATTTCTTCATAGACAGACAAAATATTACAGTCATTCCTTAAACATGTTAAGTAAAAAGTTTCAGTACAATGGTCATGTTTCGGAATCATATTTTAACCATATTTATTTCAAATAAAAAACCCTGTACACTTTTGTGTGCATTTAGAAGCTTTTAAAACCGTAGTTAATAAGTATCTTGGTGAGGGTAATGTTCAGTGAAGACCAGAACGAACTTGAAAATACATATATATATATATATTTGCCTATGGGTTTATATGATCCGTTCATCCTGTTTTGACTCTTTTAAAATTCAAGAGTCTATCCTAAATTGAGGTAAATTATATGGCCTTCCAAATACCGTTTCGATTCCTAACATCACTGAAGAGACATTAATTGTCGAAATCCAGATATGGTGTACAAATTTTTGCACCTCATGCAGAGTTTGCAAAAATGGTCGGTCCTGTGGGTCAAAATGAGGCTCGGTCCAGTATTTTGAAGGCTAGTGCCGGTCCCGATGACCGATGTAAAAACGGCCGTTGTAGTGCATATTTCGGCACTTTTTTACATCGGTTATTAGATGTACAGCAACTGTTTTCAATAAGTGTTTACATCGGTTATCAGATGTACCCGCTGCCAATTTCGGGTACTGGTTTACGGATTTACTTTAAACAAACCAAAGCGGCGATCTACACGTGGCCTACTAAATTTGTTCATAGAGCCATCCCTGGCAAACAATCAGCGTCGATTGAACCCTACAATGGAGCAAACAAATACTGTAACAGCCGAGAAAGTGATTCAGATGATGAAATGGATAGTGAAGATGACTTTAAATAAGAACAATCAGAAGACCTGAACTGGTCCTTCATTGTTAATTTGGCTGTGGGTGCGAAGAATAAAACTAATATTAATAAAGTTATTTTTCGATAAAATATGTTATTAAAATTTATTATACGACTGCAAAAATTAAAAAATTTTTGGTCGTATATTGGTATCACGTTGTCGTCGTCGTCAGCGTCGTCCATAGACAGATGGTTTCCGGATAATAACTTTAGTATAAGTGAATAGAAATCAATAAAATTTTAACACAAGGTTTATACCCACTAAAGGAAGGTTGGGATTGATTTTGGGGGTTATGGTCCCAATTGTTTAGGAATTAGGGGCCAAAAAAGGGGCCCAAATAAGCATTTTTGTAGTTTCCAGACAATAACTTGTGTTAAAGTGTATGAATCTCTCTGAAATTATACCACAAACTTCCATACAACAAAGGGATGGTTAGATTGACTTTGGGGAGCTATGGCTCAAACCATTTAGTAATTAGGGGCAAAAAAGGGGAAAAACAAGGATTTTTCTGTTTAAAGGACAATTGAGACAATTTAAAAGCAGTGTAAGGGAGGTAATCCAATTCAAATTAAAGAACAGTTTGATTACTTCCCTTACACTGCTTGTAAATTATGTATTAAGAAATGATGATTGTCTTGAGGTGATTAGCTGTCAATTTATTTTTAGCAGTTACTATTAATTTTAATTTTAGCCATGACTATCTATGTCATTTTATATTTTAAAACTTTTATGATATATTTAAATGGGTAATTTTGATTGCAAACTGCATTAGATATTTGAATTGAGATACTGACCTTATCTTGAGGGAAAGAATTTTTTTGGGGAATAAGGGAAAGGGGGGAGGTGAAAAAAATTGGAGGGGGTGACAATTTTTCTCATTTCAGATTTCAGAAATTAAAAGAAAATTTCTTTAAATATTTTTTTGGGGGGGTTAATATTCAACAGCATAGTATATTGCACAAAAGCAAAAAACCGGGGTAAAATAATTATTTTTTTGGTAGGGGAGGGGGGGGGGTCCATTCACAACAGCATAGTGTATTGCACAAAAGCAATAAATTTAATATATATTCAAATCATATAACCAATTTGAAGTTCTTTGACTACAGTTATTCTGTGTCAGAAACCTATTATGTGTCAAAAATTTAGTTACAATCCAAATTCAGACCTGTATCAAGCGTGAATATTGTGTCCATTTTGGCCCAACTTTTCAGGGTTGGACATCTGCGGTAGTATCCAGCTGCGCTCAGCGAAGCAATTTATTTCAGGATAAAATTGACAGATTTTGTAGGACTGGCTAAAATTTTGTAGGACTGACAAATAATCATGCTTTGTCTGTCCCATGACCGACAGGTCAAAATAAGTTTTCGCGAACTCTGCTCATGTTTGCGGTATACCATCTTTTCCGCAATGTTATTGTTTTCTGTTTGGTAATAAATTAATAATAAGATCTATTTTGTTACATCTTGTGATCCGTTTATTTGGCAATCACCAATGGCAGTCAGCAGGGTTTAAGAACATCGTTGTTCGACCTGCTAGTCAAATGCGTTTGTTAAAATATACTTTTTCACTCATTTGGTCTTTTGAAAAATGTTGTTTGTGCTGTATTTAGACCCCTCTACCAAGAAATTTGTTTTGCAAGCACACGTATAAAAATTGCGAATTTTATCCAACGCAATCATAGGTTTGAAGTTTGTTTTCAATTTAGACTTGTTTATATTTTTTCTTTTGGGATTGTATTATATTTGCCTTCGGGTTTATATGATCAGTTCATCCTGTTTTGACTCTTTCAAAATTCAAGAGTCTATCCTAAATTGAGGTAAATTATATGGCCGTCCAAATACCGTTTCGATTCCTAACATCACTCAAGAGACATTAATTGTAGAAATCCGGATATGGTGTACAATTTTTTGCACCTCATGTTTGCGGTATACCATCTTTTCCGATCTATTTTGTTACATCTTGTGATCCGTTTATTTGGCAATCGCCAATGGCGGTCAAATGCGTTTTGTTAAAATATACTTTTTCACTCATTTGGTCTTTTGGAAAATGTTGTTTGTGCTGTATTTAGACCCCTCTACCAAGAAATTTGTTTTGCAAGCACACATACAAAAATTGCGGTTTTTATCCAACGCAATCATAGTTTTAAACGTTGTTTACAATTTAGACTTGTGTGTATATATATATATATATATATATATATATATTGGGGTAAAAAGTCATATTGTGATCGTAAGTGGCTGACATGAACGGAACAAGTTACGAGGAAAAAAGTGATTTAAAATTACACATATTTATAAAATTAAGAATTAATTTTGTTAAAATCACATTAAAGTGCATAAAATAACATTATTATTCAATCAAATTATGTTGAAACTGTTTTATGGGGTATATTGGGTTAAAAAGAACTTTTCAGACTTAATGATTTCATGCATACAGGTTAATCCCTTTTTGGATTCTAAGCCTGGAGCGATTTTCTGATTTGGCTGCCTATTATCAAGCTCTATTTACTATTCAGGAAATTTTATTAAACAACCTCACCGTAAAACAGGTTCCTTTTACAGCACCATTCCATACACCTGGAGCAGGTTAATATTTAGTATAGGACATACATGTATCAGCCATTCAGAATCTGGGACCAAAATATCATAGTTACATAGGAAAAGGACACATTTTTTTGCCTTTTTTCTCTAGTTTACTATCAACAGAGGTCACTGATAATACTATTTATCATCCTTCCCTTTGCCTATATCACGCTGCTCAATCACTTAGTAATTCTTGTATCACAACTTTCAGACATGTGGAGACATTATTAGCAATGTCACAATTTCTGAGAAGTTATTGCCGACGTCACAATGTCAAATGAATGTGTGAGGAGACATTATCTAGCTTACATTCGTCAAGCATAATACTGTCAAAGGAAAGGGGTAAAGACTTAATAGAACAATAAACAGATATCAGGTTTTCTAGGTATAGATATCATAAAATATCAACCACTCAACACAATGTGAAGCTTTTTAGCTCGTTTGCTGCACTTACTTGCTAAAAAGGTTCATAATGTGGCTTGCGGTACATATTTTACGATACCATCAATGTGTAAAAAACTTGATAATCTATATATATATATACATGGAACCAGTGACCGCTGTGGATAGCAAACTATGAATTGTAAATAGTAAATACATGTTATTTCTAGTAAACATGGTGAATTTACATGTATATTTTAAAATATATTACAGAAAAACGCAAAGGTAATTGAAAATAAAAGAAAATATAAAAATAATGCATTTGAGAAAAAACAGAGAGGACCAAAAAATATTTGTCCTGTCCCCAAGTACCTATGGATATTTATACATGATACAGAATCCCTGAACATGCTGAATGAGTTTAAATGTAAAATGCAAAAAATCTTTATTGTTAGATACAAAACTATATCAGGACACAATTTCTTAAACTTTATGGTAAATATTTTTTATTAGTAATAAACCATTTACAAGATGTTTCGTCCACTGATCAGAATTACATTGTTTTGTACCACATAGTTTAGGGACATAATATATAGAGAAACTGCAGAAGGCCATTGGCAGAAACGTCAATACAATAATATAATGTACCCTTTTGAAATTTCTGCAGGTGGATAAATATATTTATCAACCTGGCATTTTCCATCCCAGAAAGAATTTTTGTAACTACATGTATAATATAAGAATTTTATCAATTCAAAAGATAATGCTATGATGTTTATTTGAGGGGAAAATTTGATGGGGTGCATATCACAACAATTAACTCACATTTTAATAAATATTCTACTGAAACATGTATAGGCATGATAGGAATTCACACATACTAAACCTTGCAATATCAGTAATTGATGAAGATATATACAATGATAAATAAAAAAACATTAAATGTGACTTTACAGTAGGTATTTCTTGTTAGCAAGGTAAATCCAGCCTACTAAGCCAGATGGCGCTTTACTTATAAACTGACCTCTCCTTCAATTTTAGGTAAAGCAAAAAGATTGAAGCAAGCTAAAGAAGAGGCTCAGGCTGAGATCGATGGGTACAGAAAACAGAGAGACGATCAATACAAGAAATATGAAAAATCTGTAAGTGTATTTTTTTTTTATCAATGTTTGATAAGTAAAAATTATTTATCAAATTGAAGCCCTTTGAACAAAATTACACAAATGAATTTGTTATGTTCAATAAAAGTTTTGTATTTAAATGGTATGATTAAGGAATATTCCAATAAAGTGAACTAGGGAGGATAGTAGGGACTTCCAGATTCCCCCTTCAATCAACATACGCTGACTTTGAGTAATTTTGCACTCATCTGATCAAATGGACATACATAACTGTTTTGCTCACTGTTGAAGGCCATATGTTGACCTATAGTTGTTAACCTCTATGTTATTTGTTTTCTGGTGGAGAGTTGTCTCACTGGCAATCGTACCAGATCTTATTTTTATATACAGTCCTAAATGACCTATACACCATCTCAAAAATTTAAACTTCCCTTCCTAAGTACCCTCCCAGAAACATGAGGGTCTGGATGAGGTTTACTGAGTAATGGGCAAATTATGCAGAATAAAGGCATATAAAGAATGGAGAAAAATAGGCCAAAAAAAAAAGAATAGAGAAAATTCGCCTAAAAAATTTAAGAATACAGAAATGGAGGACTCCCCCATTCAGACCCTCATACATTTAAAGGGAATAGCCCTGTATTTTGATATTTTCATACACACAAAAACCTTAAGGTCTGTATATATCCTCTGTGGACAGTTCAGCTCAGTTGTCATATATTCAACAAAATGACCCCTGTCCCTTCCTTTGAAAATCATTTTTTTATTGAGATGAGTGTTATATAATATATAACAGTGTAAACACAAAACAATGTGTACAAATGTGAAATGGTTAATAAGAAAACTTTCAAATTTATTTCATTTTATTTTATTTTTTCAGATTTTAGGTTCCCGCAGTGATATGGAATCACAGATAGATGTTGACACAAAGAGAAAGTTAAAAGAGGTGGAAGAGAATGTTAGAAAGAATAAAGACATTGCAATCAAAAAATTACTTGACTTTGTTATAGACATTGAACCAGAACTACACAAAAATTACGTAGAATAATAAATTATAAGATTTATTGATATATTAATATATATGTTGTAAACAAGAGAAATTTAGTATGGTTAGATTGTTGGAGAATAAAAACATGTAGGTTCATGATAATAAACATAAATGTCCAAACATTCCATTTTTCAGTTATAGCATATTTTTCAAAACATTTGTTATTTAAAGTCAACATATATTATTGTCAAATTAGCATGATAAGTCATGACATGTTCAATAAACCATTAAATTAGATTGTTTTGTATAGACTAGGAGAATTGATAACCTTTAATAATATGCAGATTTATATTCAGGTTTTCCCTACTAACGGCAAGGAATATTACAGTTTATACTTATTCAGAATTCAGTGTTTTACACAAGTATAAAATGTTTAATAAAGAAAATGTCATCTGGAAAAAACGTGATATTTATTGTCTAAAGTGAGAAATGAGTAATGTGGTTACATTTGGTCAAACTGTTGTTTCCCTGAGAATTGTGTTTCATGCTAAATAAAAAAAAATATGTATTGCTTGTCGACTGATAATCTCTTATTTTTTATACAACACTAAACAACTTTTGGCAAATTCAAGATCCTGTCTTTATATATGTCTTAATGAAAGAATAGACATAATTAACATCTCTCAAACTTAATTTTTATGCCCCCGCTGTAGAGGAGGGGGCATTAAGTTTAACCCTTGTCAGTCTGTAAGTCCATCCGTCTGTACGTCCCAAAATTGGTTTCCGTTCTCTAACTTTAGTTTGCGACAACCAAATGTTATACAACTTATACATAATGCTTATTACCACAAAACACAGATCAAGTTTGAATTTTGGTGGCGTCACTTCTGCCTTTCTAGAGTTATGCCCCTTTACAAATGGAAAAAATGCTGAATTTTTCGTTTCCGTTCTTTAACTTAAGTTTACCTCAACCAACGGTTATGAAAATTATGCACAATGCTTATTACCACAAAACACAGATCAAGTTTGAATTTTGGTGGTGTCACTTCTACCGTTCTAGAGTTATGCCTCTTTACAAATGAAAAAAATGCTGAATTTTTCGTTTTTGTTCTCTTACTTAATTTTCCTTACTTTTATTGCGAACCCAATGAAAGTTTTCCACAGTGCCATCTCTATCTTGACCAGGTATTTAAACTTTTGCAAGTTCACCTGTCCTATTGAATAGATACAATAGCTATTGTTCTCTGTGTAGTTTATTCTCTGGGACCTTTAAATTTCTTCTTAGAGAAATCTATCATTCATTGATTAAATTACCTGAGTAAAAAAAATTTCTTATATATAGACAAAAATACTGTTTTTATACTCATTAACTGCATGTGATGATGTAGTTATTCAATATTAATAATATATTTTCATTCAGTTTAATATAAACATTGATTCAATCATAAAAAATTGATTTCTGACAAAACTTTCAACATTGTTCCTTTTAAAAAAAAATTTGTTTGACATGAATAAGAACTTGAAAATAATGATGTTTCAAATTAAGATCTTCTTAAATGTATTCTATAACTAAACAAAAAAAAATCAAATTTCAATAGGAACATTGATAAAACTTTTGTTAGAAATCAACTTTTTATGATTGAATCAATGTTTATATTAAACTGAATGAAAATATATTATTAATATTGAATAAATACATCAGCACACGCAATTAATGAGTATAAAAACAGTATTTTTGTCTATATATAAGAAATTTTTTTTACACAGGTAATTTAATCAATGAATGATAGATTTCTCTTAGAAGAAATTTAAAGGTCCCAGTGAATAAACTACACAGAGAAAAATAGCTATTGTATTCATTCAATAGGACAGGTGAACTTGCAAAAGTTTAAATACCTGGTCAAGATAGAGATGGCACTGTGGAAAACTTTCATTGGGTTCGCAATAGGTATCTTATACTTTTGTTCTGCAGTAGGAAAAAGCGCACATGTTATTTCTTGCTAACAAAGCAGGATCAATTGTATTTTCCCAGTTTAAAAAATGGTAATGAGTTCTGTGATCTCAATATTTTATTAATATATAAATACTAATATGTATATCATTCTAGTCATCATTTTGATTGGACGTTGCTTTACATGAAAATGTCATTTTTATTTTCAGGAGGAATTTAAGTCTTAGTTTTTTGTCAAAATATACAAAAAACATGATTAAAGATGGTTAATTATTTTTTTTCTGTAACTGTCAAAACACCTTTCTTCTTCATTTATAAGAAATGCTAAATTTGATTTTAATCAGAAGAATATCTGAAAGTCTTTCAGCAGATAGAATATGTCACCATATTAAAAATACCCGCTTGAATGATATTTAGTATAAACGATGATCCAACTTATGTTTCTCACACATGTTAACTTCTATGCCCTTAAGTTTAGTGCATTTTATTCTCACATTTTTTGTAAATATAGACAGGACAAAAGTCTAATGAAATCATAAGAAATTAAACAAATATTACTGTTTTTGCTGTTCCTCATCCTGAAGCTTCTGTGATGTCTCCAACAATAAAGTCCATCAAATATTGTAGAGCGAGTAATCTCGAGACTGACCCCTTTGGTGTTAACAAGTATCATTTTTATTAGCTCCCCTGGCCCAAAGAGTATATTCTGATTTTAACCGAAACTTTTACCAAAAAAAAAACATGTAATACTGGGAAAGTATGCCAGAATAATACCGGTAGTACAAAACCAAAAGAGGTAGGGTCAGTTTTCCATAAATTTATTACCTACTGAAGGCCTTTTTAGCTCACCTGACCCAAAAGGCCATGTGAGCTATTGTCTTCACTTGGCTTCCATCATCATAAACTTTTTCAAAGATCTTCTCCTCTGAAACTACTGAACTAATTTCGACCAGACTTTGAGTGAATGATCCTTATGTTATGTTATCTAGTATAACGTTTGTTTTTTTATTCCAGTTAGTCAACAAACATGGTCACCATGGCTAAAAATAGAACAAAGGGATAAAATACAGATTTTTGCTTATATCTCAAATACTAAAGCAAAAGCAGGTCAAAATCTACATGATAGAATATTTTAAGACTACTATTGACACCCCAATTTGGAGTTATTGTCCCTGACTTAGTCATTTTTATACGACCGCAAATAAAAAAAAACGAAGACACATTGGTTTTCGCACTCTAACTTTAGTTTAAGTGAATGGATCTCTATGAAATTATACCATAAGGTTCAATACCACAAAAGGAAGGTTGGGATTGATTTTGGGGGTTATGGTACCAACAGTAAAGGAATTAGGGGCCAAAAATAAGCATTTTTGTAACTTCCAGACATAACTTGTGTGTTAGTGTATGGATCTCTCTGACATTGTACCATAAGGTTCCATATCACAAAGGAAATGCTGGGATTGATTTTGGGGGTAATTGCCTCCAGATTTTATGAATTAGGGGACAAAAAACAAGCATTTTTCTAGTTTCATGACAATAACTTGTGTGTAAGTGTATGGATCTTTTTGAAATTGTACTACAAGGTTCCATATCACAAAGGGAAAGCTGGAATTGAGTTTTGGGGTAATTGTCCAAAACGTTTAGGAATAAGGGGCCAAAAATAATCATTTATCTAGTTTCCAGACAATAACTTGTGTTCAAGTGTATGGATCTCTCTGAAATTGTACTGCAAGGTACCATACCACAAAGGGCAGGCTGGGATTGATTTTGGGGGTAATTTCCTCAAAATTTTAGGAATTGGGGGCCAAACAGGGGCAAAAAACAAGCCTTTTTCTAGTTCCAGGACAATAACTTGTGTGTAAGTATATGGATCTTTATGAAATTGTACTACAAGGTTTCATATCACAAAGGGAAAGCTGGGTTTGAGTTTTGGGGTAATTGCCCTAAACAGTTAGGAATTTGGGGCCAAAAAACAAGCATTTTCCTAGTTTCCAGACAATAACTTGTGTTCAAGTGTATGGATCTCTCTGAAATTGTACTGCAAGGTACCATACCACAAAGGGAAGGCTGGGATTGAGTTTGGGGGTGATGAATCATAAGGGGGTTCAAAAAATTTGGGGGGTGATTTTTTTTTCCTTTTTTTCTTTAAAATTTTCCATTTTAAATTGGTTATTTCTGATTTATATATAAAAGCAAATAATAATGATATGGTTTGAATAGGTAAATTAAAACTTTTTAAGTTCTTAGACCACATTCATTCTGTGTCAGAAACCTATGCTGTGTCAAATATTTAATTACAATCCAAATTCAGTGCTGTATCAAGCTTAAATGTTGTGTCCATACTTGCCCCAACTGTTCAGGGTTCGACCTCTGCGGTCGTATCAAGCTGCGCCCAGCGGAGCAATTTATTATGAAATGTCTTAGTTTTTGGTTATTATCTTGAAAACTATCATTTGGCAAAGTAAGATCTACCAATAAGTTTTAAGGGCAGAATTGGTCAATTGATCCCTTATAGGAGTTATTGCCCTTGAAATACTTCAGTTTTTAATTTTTTTATCAAAACCTGTGATAGACAGAAAGTTTGATTGTTGAAAATGTTCAGCAAAATAACACCTACAAATAAGTCAACATGACCGAATTGTCAATTAATTAGATATCGGAAGATGTGGTATGAATGCCAATGAGACAACTCTCCATCCAAGTTACAATTTATAAAAGTAAACCATTATAGGTCAAGGTACGGCCTTCAACACGGAGCATTGGCTCACACCGAAGCCTTTATATGAGATATAACCCTTGGACAATTTTTTCATTTTTAAATTATTTTTTTTTGCAGAAACTATGATAGAGAGAAACTTCAAACAGTTAAAATATTCAGCTAAGTAAGCATGGTAAGACCTACAAATATGTCAAATGACCAAATTTGTCAAAAATTTTAGCGCTAATGTTAAAGAGTTAATGCCCTTAAAGATGATTTTTACCATTTTTTTTACTTTTTTGCAGAAACTATGATAGGTAGAGCCTTTAAATGGCATGTTTTAATGCACATTAATATTCACTTTAAACATTATAATGATAATTGATGCAAGATCTACACAAAAAAATACAGGTGAGCTCTAAGGAACCTCTTGTTTTAAAGGTCTTTAAATCTCTTCAAAAATATCAAAGCTATACTTTGAGGTTTCTACAAAATTATGTGGTATTTCCGAACATTTAGTAACCAGATTATAAATAGATATAGGAAGATGTGGTATGAGTGCCAATGAGACAACTCTCCATCCAAGTAACAATTTATAAAAGTATATATAAATGCTTGCTTTAAAACTGTAGTTTTTGGTAGCTGTTGGAAATTTGAGAGATTGATTAAAGGATAAAAACCAAAACCAAAGTTATGGGGGAAGTATAGGTATCGTGTACCGCCTTAATTTCAGGTATATATTCTACTCCAGGAATAAATTACCTTAGCTGTATTTTACAAAACCTCTTGGAATTTTGGGTCCTCAATGCTCTTCAACTTCGTACTTTATTTGGTCTTTTGAACTTTTTTATTCGAGTGTCACTGATGAGTCTTTTGTAGATGAAACGCACGTCTAGCGTACAATATTTTAAGCCTGGTATTT